TGGCGCCTTTTAAGACAGCAATTATGAGACTGTCTCAGAACTGGAGACACGTTCTCTGACATGTGGAGAAAACATGGTCAATTGCTTCATAGTGAAATGCAGAATGCATGTGAACCATATGTGTGTCTCATAAACACAAAACCACTTAAAAAAAGATCATAGATGAGTTACATATGATCCTGTGTTATTCCTAGATTCATATTTCTGGATTATGATCAATGACTCATGAGTGATAAGTAATCTAAAACCGAATTGTATTCATTGTCTGACATCTATTGTCATCAACCACTTTTTATCTCTCAAGTAAATGAAAATAGTTCCGGCATATCATTTCTGTAGTAGCTATTGAAGTTGAGTAAACACAGAATTACTGGAGCCTCTTTATTAGTTGACTGAATGTCTCTCTAGAGGCCTTTGTATTCTTTTGAATGACAATGCTGGATCATCATTAAAGGCCTCCGTTTGTTATACAACATATGATCACTGTCCCAGATTTATGATGAGATTCAGAACATGGCATGATAACACTGGAAGACAAGATGCTTTACAATGGCCGAGGACTATTATAAGAGATCACACACCCATTGTAAAGCATCTTGTCTTCCTGTGTGTGTGTGTGTGTGTGTGTGTGTGTGTGTGTGTGTGTGTGTGTGTGTGTGATGTGTGTGTGTGTGTGGTGTGTGTGTGTGTGTGTGTGTGTGTGTGTGTGTGTGTGTGTGTGTGTGTGTGTGTTGTGTGTGTGTGTGTGTGTGTGTGTGTGTGTGTGTGTGTGTGTGTGGTGTGTGTGTGTGTGTGTGTGTGTGTGTGTGTGTGTGTTGTGTGTGTGTGTGTGTGTGTGTGTGTGTGTGTGTGTGTCGTGTGTGATGTGTGTGTGTGTGTGTGTGTGTGTGTGTGTGTGTGTGTGTGTGTGTGTGTGTGTGTGTGTGTGTGTGTGTGTGTGTGTGTGTGTGTGTGTGTGTGTGTGTGTGTGTGTGTGTGTGTGTGTGTGTGTGTGTGTGTGTGTGTGTCCGTCAGCACTCGTACCCTGATGCATTCAGTACAGCCCTGAATGTCTTTGTCGGCGCTCGTTCTTTGTGCTTTTTTGAGTTTTTTTTTTAAACAGTTCATTGTGTAACATATGGTGATTTTATTATTATTATCACAGGTTTTAAGTCAGTGCTTGGAACATGTTACTGTATTTCCAGTTTAACAAGTTTCATTTATGACTTTTATTGTCATACGTCATCACCATTAGTTATTCTTAAAGAGTGCTGTTTGTTGTGTAGCAATACATGTGATCCTTTCCTGTACAGTCTTCCTGTTGTTTAAATAAGTCTGCAATTTGTATTCTTTTTCTTTTGTTGAACAATTTTTCTCAGTCTCAACAGTGAGCATACCTTGAGACTTGCCTAAAAAACGTTTGTCTGACTCCAGGGTAGGACAAAGGGCAGAATGACCCTGAAAGTCTTCACTGTACTTTCTCCTGATGCAGGACTCAAACATCTGTTTCACTTTTGCCAGAAACAAGGCAGGCCTGACTGGTGGCCCCTCCCCTCTCTCCCCTCTCTCCCCTCTCCCCCCTCTCCCGTGGTAATGGCTTGATCCTTTGATTATAGTGTTGGGAGAAAACTACATGAGTATGTTCCCAAGTTTTCCTTGAGGGCACAGCGTTGGCACATGAAATGCTCTTTCATGAACACTCATGCACAAGTGGTGCTTAATAACGACCATCAGAGCACCACATCAGCAAGTGTGTGTGAGAACATTTTCCACTTCCTGGGGCTATCAATTACTGCTCATTTAGATAATGTAGCATCAGCTAACCCACACTTCCCATACTTCTCGGTATGACAGTGAAGTATGTGAGTTTTGTGATTGATGTTAAATGTAGTTGTTATGCTTCATCGCAATTTGTAAATAGTTAGGAGCTTTTGTAATTGTGTGCGTTGTAAATGAGTGGTGTGCAGATTGGACATATGAGGCCTATCTAAACAGCTCTGATTAATGATCTATGGTGGAAAATCAAGGTAACATAAATGACTCGGCTGCAGTTTAAAGGCTAAAATAAAGTGTATTCATACAATATTTTGAGTCACATGAATGTTTCTACCTTTGAGGTCATTGTGTCTACATTAATATCGATTAGATTTGTAATCTAAAGATGCTAGAATCCTGGGTTCTGGAAACTCTGTTTTCCATGTTTTATTGATTCAAAATGAATTTTAAAAAAAAGAAAGGAGGAAAATTAAGAGAATATTGCAATCATTAGATGCAACCAGTAGTTTTTTTTTTGTCTGCACATTAAACAAAAGTCACATCTTTCAAACATATTGAGCGTAATTTCAGTTTTGGCAGATTTGTGAAGTTACTTCCCCTGATGTATTCAGCTGAGTCATTCATGCATCACCATCAGCCCGTCATACACCAGCTGTTTGGCCATCAGCTAAGTAATGATACTAATCAAAGCTACCGTCATGCCAACATCATTTGAACTGCATCCAGTCTTCCTCAGAGTCCTGCCATTTCTTCTAAGTCTGCCGTCTGTTTCAGAGAAGAGCGCAGACATGACGCGTCTGCTTTCGTTTTAAACAAGCTGTTTCTTTCATGAAACGTTTGATCCTTTAATGGAAAACCAACATTAATTGCCCGAATGAATGATCTCACTTTGATAATGAGAGCAATAGTGATTTCTCAAAGCTATATCAGTCAGCAAACAACTAATTATCCACTGAAGTAACTTTTATCGTGTGTTTGTATGAGTAAGCTCTAACTTACTCATTAATATGTATTTTTCACATTTATAAAAAAATTAAGCAATCATTAATAATTACAGGTTTGAATCATTTGGTGTTATGACAAATGTAAGGTCAACCATCTTTTAGTAATCATGTATTGTATTGCATTCCCAGTTCAGATTGAAAGTTGAACTTTTATAACATTGGGGGACTCAGAAGAGACATATTTTTTAAGTTACTGAGGCTTTTTTTGTTAAGCATGCCTCAAGACTCACCATATAAGCCTCAAGACTGCCTCAATCCTCAAATGAAAATTGCCCTTATGATGTGTTCACAGGCTAAGTAGACCCTTTTTAAATAATGAAATAATCTTCATGGTGCGGTGCTCCTTAAACACAAGCATTTGCATGTTTGGTTAGCATACTTACTGTAGTCCTCACTATCAAATATCCAAGTAAGCAGATGTTCAGTTCATTATCTGCGTTGCTTGTGGCTTGAGACTAATGAATGTTTTTTAACTTAAAAAACGGACATCTTGTTTACCCGATTAGCAGCCTCATTGATTTCACATTCTTCACGGCTGTTAACTAAAGGTTAAAAGGGCAAAGAGAACCATTATTCAAATAATGTCTTCTGTCTAAGTGGCCCTCGTCCATATATCTCTGAGGATTCCTGTAAGGCTGGTATGTTGGAATTTCTTTTGTGTGACACCAGATACGTTCGCTCGCTGCCATTCCTCGGGGCAGCAGAGTGTGACCGCTCTTTGTAGTCCAGTGATTCGTCTGGCATTGCTGTCAGGATGAGTGTAAAGAACAAATGGGTCTGACAGACATGGATTCATTTGTGAAAGTGCATGAGAGAAGTAGGGTTTAATCTTACGTGAGCTACCCTATAAATCTTATACAACCTTTAGAAAAAGACCTCAAGCAGCCTGAGACATGTTCATGGTGGTTACAAACCCAGGGATCCATCCTAAAGTGCTGCTATTATAATCTGTAGGCACCCTGCTGCTCATGTAGATCACTCTTACATGACCAGCCTTTAGTCAAATGGATTTTCTCTCTTGTGTGGTAGTAAAAAGCACCTTCTCTGTTAGCCTAATTAGTCTCAACATGGCCTCTAACATAATGACATTGCCATTTAAGTTGGCAATGATGTGAGTTCCCAGGATAAAGTGTGATCAGTATACAACATGTCAGTGTTTGAATGGTGACTCACTTCTCTATATATGATCAAAAAGCTGCATTCATATTCCTCTGGAGGAGTTGTTAAAGTGCAGAGTTAATCAAAGAAAACCCCACCTGTGGACAGGACTTGACGAGTGGCACTCTACCTGTTGGCATGGTGTTAAAATAAAAAGGCTCCTGCTTCTAATGACTTGAAAGAAAGCCAGTGGGTGAGCCCTAAAACATTGTTTGGCACTGTGCTGCACCAAAGGGAAAGGAAAAAAAGTCTTTAAATAGGATGGAATTTGTAGCAGCCCTCTGCAGCTTTTAAAGGCAATGGCCCCGTAAGTGGTTTTCCGCTTTTCAGGAATGCCATCGGTGGTCTGTTCACAGCGTGTTAGAGGTTTTCCTAAGTGCCGGCAGAAGAACAATTCGGTGTGGTTTCTGCAGATGGCCGCCCTCTGGGTTCTCTAACCTTGAAACACAGAATGGCCGTAAGCGTGTGGATTGTAGAGGTGATTTCGGTACAGGGAAAATGGAAAATAAAAACAAATGTTGAATAGTATTGTTGAGGCAAGTAGTCTGTTTTTTGTTATAAAGTTGGCTTTGTGTACAGACGCATTGTCTTGTTGAAACAAGAAGGTTGTTCCTTTAACTGCAGCCACCTTGCTGGAAGCACGCTACTGCAGAACATTAATATAACTTTCCATGCGGTTGCCTAGAGATTTCTCTTTGTTAGCGCCTATCCTAGGGCAGGGTAATAAATAACGTTACAGTAACCCTTGATTATGACTCAGTTGAGGCTGTTATTCATTTAATAGATGAAAGATGATGTTCTGTGTCTTTAATCCCTGTCCTCTGTAATGGAAATTCCTCTAAATCTCTTTGCTGTTTCTCTACATTGTCTTGTTCATTTTACACCCATTTTGCAATATTATAAACATAAATCACACTTGTAAAAAGACATTTTGTAGTACAAGTTCATTAACACACTGTAGTAGAATAGGGACAGGGTTCATGCAAACGCATCTACTATTGTCGCACAAAATGATCTGTGAGTGTGTTTGAATGTGACACAGCTTCTTAAGCTTACCATGTGTTTCCTCCTCTCTCACTCCAGATGAGGTGAGCATTCTGCAGGAGCTTTCTCCTCAGGTGTTGAACAGCAGTAACACCTCAATGACTGTAGATGACAGCAGGTGTCCAGTCCTACAGGTGGGACAGTACTCCACCTTGTCTGTCCCTCTTCAAGACCTCCTCATTGATGGGTATGGTTTCAACTACATTATCCTCATACATACACTCTTCTTGTATAGCTTCCTACTTACTAGAGATGCAGCAAATGCCATTTTCTGCCCCGCAAAAAATTACTATTGAAATGTTTACACTTTCTCCGAAAAGGAAATAAGTTACAGTCCCTTTTAGCTGTAAAAACCTTGTTTTTAAGGTTTTAAATCCACTGCTTGTTGTATACTTGTCGGTGTTACAATTTGCATGCTTTGTCTTATTCTCATGCCTAAAACTCTGCACATGATGTGTGTGGCTGTACTGTGAGCCGCAGCTTCCACCGTTAGCACAACATGCATGTTGTTTTTGTGGCTGTGACGTAACTGTCTGTGCCACTTTGTATGACACGTATACAGACATTTTAGCAGCAACAGAATCACATAAAGCATCTCTACTTACTACTGCATGGAAAGGAAAAAACTGTTGCTTTGCTTTGGTCACCAGTCATTTAAAAAGTAGTACCTTCCTAGTGTCCTGAAAATACAGTACTGTATATGGCTGAATGGTGCGTGTCTTTGTCTGTGTTAGATTTGCAGAAGAGTTCAGTTTGCTGGTGCAGCTGCGGAGTCGTCAGGCAGACGAACGCAGCGTCTTCACCATGCTCAGCCCCGACAGCCGAGTGATGCTGCAGCTGCGGATCAGCGCCTACGCCATCATCTTCATAGGAACACAACAGCGTCATTACGAGTAAGGCCACTCATCCCTATTTCTCTTTCTTTTTTCCTTTCCAAAAACGAATTAAAATCAAGCTCAAATGTTGTTACAGATTTATCGACTGCTTTATAAATGTTTTATTCATGATAGGCTAACATTGCTCAAACTCTTCCAGTAACACAAACAGGAACAGTACATTCTTTGAACTTCTAATGAATTAACCATAATCCAAAAAATCCAGATGTCAGATGTGATTACAACATCAAACTCAGGTAATTGAGGACAACTCATTCCTCTTCCTGCTTCTTGGCTGAAGTGTAAACAAATGTGTCTGTACATTAGCGGAAATTCTGTGGAAGTGGCCTTGTTTGCAGCATGTGTGCATTTGCTTGTCTGTGTTTTGTGTTTGGCTGTCTCTTTGGTGATATGATTTATTGGGTGTCTCTTGGCAGGTTTCTTGTTTTCGGGACACAGAGAGTTTGAAGCAATTAATCACTGCAAGACAGCGGACAGAACTGAGCCAAAAGATAGACACATAGATACTATACTTATCTTGTACTGTTGGCACATGGTTAATGTATTTTTTTAACCTTCCCTTCTGCAATTTTTAGGCAGCATGTCTGTTGGTGGCTGCCACCTACAATGTCCAGTTGGGTCTAGAGCCCATCTTGACGTTTTGAGGAGAGTGGTCGGTTGAGTTTGGCCGGTGTAAAAATGTTCAAACCGGTTTGACATTTAGCGGGTCACAAAACCAAACCAGTGCAGTATACTTATTAAACAAATTGCTTTCACGCTTGACTTAACATTTCAGTTTTCATAGGTTTCTGATGTAGGATACCTTTTTAACACATTTAAGTTTGCACACCGGACTAGTGACTAATTTAATAAGTGGGTCTGTTTTGACATTTAAGGTCCAGTGATTAATATTTTGTATATTTAAGGGAAACTCCATGACGTTCTTCATCAGTCAAAAGTCTGTTGGGAGTGCTACTGTAACTGAAACACAGGTTGTGTAAAGCCTTTTGTGGCTCCAGAAAAAAGTGCAAAACATTTCCTAAGAATAAAAAGTATGATAGACATGTCAGTACATAATGACCCATATCTCTTTCTGTTAGATTCCCAGTCAGCGGCCTGTCTGATGGAAAGTGGCACCATGTGGCGCTCAGTGTGTCTGCCAAGCGGCTGGCGCTGTACGTGGACTGCTCTCTGCTGGAGAGCGTGGACTGGGTGTACCGCAGCATGGGGATCAGCACTGAGGGGCTGCTCATGATCGGAGGCATCATCGAGGCCTTCGAGACTCCATTTGAAGTAAGTGGCGTTTATGTAGCTTTATCAATATGTCAAGCAACTTTTAATTTATTTGTATTATTTTCTGTTAGGAAAAATACCACTCGTCACCGGCTTGGTCTTCAATATCAGGATACATGCATTTATTATCCTTGCAAGAATGGAAGTAGTCATCACACACAAAGCTGCATGGGACAAATAGATCCCTGAATAGTGTCCTTGACATGCTGATGTACAAGACAGGGAGTTTCACAGTCACAAGATGGAGAATACGGGTTCAAAGCAGTATTCAATGTTTAGTTTAGATTAGCTAAGACCTGCGTAAGCAATAAACATGACAGTAATATGTCTATCTCCCTAGGGGCTGAATCATCATGTTAATCCTTGTCACATAGCAATCATATGCCTAAAACAGTGTGTCCTGACGCTCTTCTAGGTAATCAAACATCCTGTTATGTACACAGCTACGTAGGGTCTTTGTTATCATGTGCTTCTTGGATATTAGAAGAGTACATTCAGTATTTTCCCAACATTTTCCCAGTGTAAAGCAACGTTAAGACACAGAAAAGCACCCAGCCCTACGTCATACAAACTTTAATCTATTCTGTTGGTCCTCATGTAAAAGATGCTGCTTTCACTAAACACGTTTTATTCTTGTGACCTCATGACAGACCCTCGGCTGACCTGACAATAGAGTTTTTGAAAAGCCTTCGTCAGGTTTTATAATCCCTTACTTTAGAACTTTGGAATGTTGTTCAATAATGCATGTGTGTGTGATAACACACATTATATGAACACATGTTTGTGCAATAGTAAGATGATATCTTAAACAACTGTTGCCAAATAATAAACCACATGTGTATAGTAAGTCCAGTTCATTTGAGTTAAGTCAGACGTAGGTATTCCAGGCCTGACCCTATTCACTTTCCATCACAGACACAAAGACGTGTAGCACATCCTGCTTAGAAACCATGTGTTTGTTTTTTAGTATGCATAGGAATCCATGCAACCTGCTCTAACCACAACCTCAATTACATGCCAAGCACCAGTGGTACATGAAATGATTGAGGAAACACTGACAGAGGATGAATTTCCCGACCAAGTTCAACCCCTTCCCTGTAATGCACTCGACATGAAGACATTTCCCTTTACTTACCTTTATTGTTAAACAAACCTGGATGTCTTTGAGCGATGGGAAAACAATCCAAACTGAGTATTTTTTGCTGACACTCTTGAAACATGTGTATCTCGGTTTTATGCATGCATTAGTTCAGCCCGGACACCTATTGTGTTTCAATTATTTCTGTTTGGTATGAAAGTCTGTTAGTAGACTCTAAAAGCGTGCCTGATTTGTGTTCAGTAATCTGTCAGAAAAAACACCACAACAGGTCTTAGTTCTTTCAAAATGCCTCTTTGCTCTACGGCTGTCTGACTGAACAGCGCCAAGCTCATGCATACAAAGTGTATGATCAAGCATCCTCCGGTTGGTGTTGATTGTGCAAAAACAATGTCAAACAAATGTAGTAGCCCAAATACATGGATACAAGCCAAGGGGCAACGCTAGCCTGTTTCATGTTTCTAGTCTGTGCTGATATGTTGGCATGTTCGCATGTCATTTTTTTTCTGATGATTAGCTGGAAGGAGACTCTTATCGTTGCCCTGCCAGCGCCAGATCCTTTTATATAAAATGCAAAAACTGAAACAATTGCATGAAAAGCTATTTTCTGAAGGCCCATAATGCACTTGGTTTTGTGTAGTGGACGTGATTTCCCAGTTGGAACAAGCAGTGTGACTGTAACACAATGGGGGGGGAGGCGAAGCGTTTTAGAGGTGACATCTGGATTTGTTCTTAGCACCAGATAAAATGGGTTATCCATTGCCTCGTTTCCCCTGGCGACAGCTTTTTTTTACTAAGCTCCAAGGACGGAGCGCTTCCACACTCGGAGGTGGTGACAGTCTTGTCTCTGGACAATCTTTCGTGTTTGGCAACGCTACACCATACATTACTCTACTCTGCTTTTATCTATAACTCTTACTGTCATCCATTATACTGCAGCAAGACTGGGAAGCATTTTCAGACCCAAAGAAGAATATGAAAATGATTGCCATAGTTAAATACATGTTGTATGTTTTTTGGCATCTGTGTTTCGCCTTTAGACGACTCAAATATAACTCAATCACCACAACATTTAGTATACATGACATGTTTACATATGGATACATTTTTGTTGTTTGAGCACTTTATTTTTAGGGTATTTCTGGCAGATGTCTGCAGGGTAAGTTCTTTTTTACTATGTACTGAATGTCTTCTTCCACTTGTCTCTGGATTTCATTTAAAATGGCTTTCATTTTTCCTAATTGGTCTTGTTTACGCATACTACCTGTTTGATATGCATCAACTATCTGTACCAGGAAAAAATAAATACATTTGAATTTGATATTACAAATCAAATTGACTCCAAATCCAAGAGTGGTTACACAAAGAAATTGAAACTCCACACACACACACACACACACACACACACACACACACACACACACACACACACACACACACACACACACACACACACACACACAGAGACAGATGTTCTCTCATTCACCGTCACATTCTTATACACACAGCCTGAGGATAGAGGTTTTTAAATGTCTGCCCATGCTTTGTTTGTCATGTTTGGCCTGATGTCAGACTGACTAGTAAAGGAACCATGGGAACTGCAGAAAAACACATGACCCTCTGTAACCCCCTTACGTCTCTTTGTCTAGGCTTGTCCTTAGATTCTGTGCATATAGATGAAAAGTTATACAATAAACACACAGAATATGTACTGCATGAATAGTTTGGCTGTAAGATACAGATTTAGCTGATAGCTTTGTCTCTAACGTATGATTCTGATTCAATGTGTTTAGGTCTGAAAATGCAATGAATTAGGGAATGTAATGGTTTGGACTGTAAATTGTCTAAAGTGGAAAGTATCCATCTCAAGTTCCAAAAGCCTGAGGTGAAACCTTCAAATTGCTTGTGTAGTCCGACCAGCAGTCCAAAACCCAGAGATATTCAATCTTAGATGAGCATGAAAACTAGCACAGATGTAAATTGAAACCAGAGGGATGGTGTTCATAAATCTTCTACTAAGAACCCATTTGGAGGTTGTTCAATGTACCTTAAACAAAATGGAAGAATGTTGGGCGTGCAAAGCCAGATAGAGATAGAGAACAAAGCTTGGAATACCTTCACTGCAAAGTCAAATGTAGTCCGTTTGTATGTATGTATATAATATGCCCTGTGTTAATGTTAAATGTATATACACAATTTTCTTATTGTTCTCTTTTATTTTTCGTCTCTTATCTTTGTTATTTAGATGAATAGATCCCCAAAACTATGCCTACTATGTCAGTGCTGTCATTTGACAAACCAATGAATATGTTAACTAGTCTTTTGTTACCTGTTATGGACCCAAATGTTCAGGGTGTGCACATACCTTTTCTCTGACTCAAATCTCACAGGTTTTCCCTGTAATGTCCAAAACGTAACCCTGCATCAAGAAACATGTAAGATAATTAATTTTCTGCATAAAGGTAGTGAGAGTCTTTTCTGCACTAACCTTGCATTTATTGTTTCTGCCTCTGCAGGGTCATCTCCGACAGCTGACCTTCCTGATGGGCGACCCTGACGCCGCCCAGCGACACTGCAGCCACCACCCACCCCGCTGTGGGGAGACCTCCCGCAAGCCTCCTCGATCCCCACGCACCAACCGCCTGGAGGTGAGGAGAGATGAATGGAAAAGAACAAAAACAGAGATTAGGAAAATTCATGTCATTAACTCATAGCATTGCTCCTTTGATTTATGTAAACAGCGTGGCTCCAACATGTCACCAAGGTGTTTAAGGTGAAGCCAGATGTCTTTTTGAAGCCTAGACATCCAGACTCCTGCAGTAAATTCTTTGACACAACAACCTGTTTTTTGCATTCACTCCTGGGGTTTTGATCCAGTCTGGTAAATTAAACGACTCTGAATGTTCTGCTGATGATGCTCTGAACTGTCTTTGTTTGTGGTTTTGTCCCCCTGTTTGCACACAGAATATACTGCTGTCCTCAAACGACCTGGAGAACTTGCTGGGGGATCCTGAGGATGAGGCTTTTTTGCGCTTTGGAACTGTAAGTAGGATGTTTTTGGTGCCTGCAGTGCTCTTTAATCCTCTTTTCATAAGGTGTTAAAAAGACAAAAGAAAACACGCAGTCGCCTGGTTTCACAGCTGCATCCCAGGGTTTGAATCAGCGAGTGTGGGCAGCTGACCAGTCGTCATGGTGATTCGATCCAGCTGTGTCCAGGCGGGCAGATACAGTCGTACATACCAGCCACAGGTCTGGTTTCACTGGCTTCATTTTTCTTTTCTCATCAGTCTTTGTAAAAACCACCAGTCCAGTGTCTGTCATTCATTACCGCTGCGGTGCAGAGACCCTCTGTCAGGGGCACCAACCACCCGTCCCACCTCATGGTTCGGGATGAATGGTCAACTTGGACAGTGTCCGGAACTGTCTGTCCTCTAGTCCATCAGTCTGTCTTTTGACGGTTCTTTGTTGTGGCCTGCAAAAAGGGTTCATCAGGCTAAAAGTCTGCTGTGTTGTATCAAGGGCATATTCCTCATGGTTTTAAAAAAAAGAAGCAATAAAGGGAATGTGTTGGTTTTGTGGTTTTGACTATTAAAACCATCGGTAGAAAATAATAAAACAACTAAAAGCAAATAATGCATTTTATCTTTACCACTGTGTAATTGGATGTTTTCGTTCAGTAAATCATTGGGTATGACCAACAGGTCATCTGTGTTTCCTCCTTGTTTCCTCTCTCAATGTTCCATAACCAGATCCAGAGTTTTTCTGATTGTAATTATCTACACGAATACCTGCTGTTCGTTGTGCTAATCATTATTGTCTGTAGTTTGTTCGTTTTTTCTTTATTTTCTAATGGGAGTATGTGGGAGAAATACAGGGAAGAAATGTTCTAAGTCTGGTGTCACTGAATAATTGGCAACAATCAACGTTTTGATAATCCAAAAATAATGTTAGTGATCCTTAAAGCATAATATTTGCTTGATCCAGCTGTTGTTGAGAGCTAAGTTAGAATGAATTAACTGAGACTCACCATAGAAGAAATCAGCATTGCACCTTATCACGTCTAGTGAATATTGACCGTAAGGAAATATTATTTGCAGTCCTTTTATTTTGCTCCACTCTCCTGAACCTAATCAGCGACAGCAATGAAGGCAGCAGCAACCTCCATGTGGACTGACAGCAGGATGTCCACAGGAAACACAATGGGGGGGGGGGGGGGGGGGGGTGATCTAAGTGTTCAAAGATCCCATTAAACGGACACTTGAACTTCCATTGGTCTGCATATTTGGTGCAACAGTGCGTTCTGAGCAGTGACGTGGTGTTGCAAGAATGGGTGCAACTAAAAAGTCCATGTAATGTGGGCCAGACACTAAAGTGAATTAGACCGGCTGAAACTGGTCCCCCTGACTGATTCTAGCTGCCTTCCTTTGCCTGTGTGTGACATGCAACTAGTTGCCTGTGTGAGGTGTTGGTGTTGGCACAGACAGCACTGCCAGTCCTCAACAGATACTTCACTCTGTCTATTTTTGGCAAGAACTGCAAGCGTCACCGTCACAGGTGTTTTCTATAACGTTGTGTTTGAATGGCATTCACTGCTTACCATGTTTCATCTTGTTCGTTTATCCTTTTCTTTTTAACCCTGACCCTTTTCATTTTGGAATGATGTGATTTATTACAATCACTGCAATAAACAAAATACTGTTATATTAAATTAAGGTCGCCCACCCTTACCAGAAATACATACGGTTGTTTACACTGGCACGTACAGAATAAACCTGGTTTCTATAATCTACACAAGTTTGAAATGGAAACAAAGGCATCAACTCTGCACTTGGAAACAAAGAAAAAGCAAATCAGGTTTTAATTTCCATCTTCAAAACTCCTGAAATAATGAGCGAGGATCTGGTTCTCTTCATGGTTACAGTAGTGTCCTGGCAGAACAGAATACCATGCCGTGCCAGCTGCAGCAGGCTCACAGTTCCTCCATCAGGATGGCATTGGGATGCCTTACTGATGATGAAGACCACAAAGCCCTCTCCTGCTGTTTTAAGTTGTGGAGGATGTTTGCTGGAACAAGCTGCACCAGATCCATCTTAATAGTGACATCTTATTCAGCTGCATCCCTTTCTCATTATGAGTTCTCTATTCATCTGTTTTTATTTTTCTGTGTTTTATTGTGTCTGTATCTGTCTCCTCTGGCTGTGTTTGTTCAGTCCATGCCACTGTCTATGTGTCTCTGTGTGTTCAACAAGCCATTTCCCCCTGCCTTGTTGATACCTGACCTTATGCTAAGCTAACTAGTTGGTGGATCCAGTGACATATTTACTGTACAGACATAGTACAGTAGTTGAATCAATCTTTATGTATGAAGCGATTGCTGCCTTTAAGTGGGTTCATTTGGACCGTTTTGACAATAAGAGAAGAGTGGTGGAAGTTGAATTTTTCTGAAAACCTTGACATTTTTACTGATGTTTTAAGAAACGGTGGAGGCCATGAAAGAACATTTATATGTGAATAGAAAGTTCATATATTGCAAGTAAAGTCGCTAAGATTTTTTTAATTTTTTAGACGAATCTCAGTCTGAGAAAAATGTTGGTATTCCCCTAATTCCAACAGCCTTAGCTTTTCTTTTACCATTTGCCTTTCCATTTCCTGCATTTTGTTACCCACTTTTTAGCTAGCTAAATGTTCAGCCTTAGAGGCTTGTAGTCCATCCCATGATGGCATGTTGCCATTGCTAATTAGGGTTAGGGTTGTACGTTTTCATCAACCACAAGCACCGAAGTTCCTTTTGTAAACATTTGTCCCAAAATGTCTAGCTATTCCTTTAAGCACCACCAATACAACATTTACTGTTTCCAGTTCCAATTGTGAATGTTTGCTGCCATGTTTATATTATATTAAATTAAATATCTTTTTTGGGGTTTGGACTTGTAGTCAAACAAAACAAGGAATTTTTAGATGTACTTAATGACTAAATCATTAGTAAAAAAATAAATGTGTCAAAGGATAGGAAAAAGTGTTCATTGCCGTGTATCATGTAGGAAATGGAGAATAAGGGAGTGGTTTTGGACACAGCCCTTGTTTCCCTGCAGCCTGTTTCTCATTAGGTCCACACAGACCAGACCTGTGGAGGTGCAGCCGCCCTGTCTCTGGCTCTCCTCAGAATCTGCCCATTTGAAAGAAAAAGAAATAAAACAAGGCTTGTACATTACCAAGATCTATTTCCATTTCGCTAAGGTCTGCTGCTGTCGTCTGCGAAGCGTAACATTTCTGACTGCGAGGCTATGTTGTTGGGGTTTCCTGACTTTGATGCATGTCCCGTCTGGTGCCACTGGCTCCCTTGACAGGTGCTCTCTTTAGAGACATGGCACTCGCCAAGTTAATGTATAGCTCCTCCAAAGTGCATTAAGATGTTAAACACACCTGGAGGTCAGGGACCGTAGCTAAACATGTAACTCTAAAGCCAGAGTTATGAACTACAGCGTATGTTCATGGCTTTGAACCCTCATACTCAACGTTTCCTGTAATAATCAGAACTACTAGGTGCGACCGAGGCTCTGTGGAAGTGCACTGGTCTTTCAATCAGATGGTAACTGGTTCAAATAATCAAAATTACTTTTTTGGTCAATTCCAGTGCATCTTTTGAAATTAGCCAAACATTTGATGTGTCCAGCTTCCTTAATGTGAAAATAAGCTGCTTTCCTTTGATCTAAATCATTGTAAATAGAATAACTGAAGACATCCAGTCAAGCAACACATGTAATGTATAGATTCATATATCAGGGTTCTTACGGTCATTAAAAACCTGGAAAAGTCATGGAAATTCAAAATGCTAATTCCAGGCCCTGGAAAAGTTATGGAAAACAATATTTCTCCCAAAGTTTTGGAAAAGTCATGGAAATGTAACTAAAGTTGCATCAAATATAATTTATATTTTATCTAATTGCCAAAATAGTAATACAATAATGATAATAAATACTGTATCGTATAGTAATGAAACGTAAAATGGCATTTAACTGTCGAGGTATTTTGCTGGTGAGAGATTTTAGTTGCTTTATCGTGTAGAAGCTAGTAAGTCTATTTGATTTGTTTTACTGTAGATAGGCACAACATGTTTCATATCCAGACCTTATTTTCCTGTTCCATGTTAAAATAAACCATTTTCAGTGGTACCGCTGAGAGAGTAATTTCTTTGGTCATGGAAAAGTAGGTAAAGGTCATGGAAAAGTCATTGAAAATCATTGGTGAAAAAGTGTATGAACCCTGATATATATATATATAATTATATTGTCAGCATGTTTTTGCACTTGATCCTAGGATAAAGTCAAAAATGTGGATTTTCTCGCATGTATGCATGTGTCGGATAAAGAGGGAGGAATAGAGCATGACAGAGCTTTTTTTATTGTTTTTTTCACCACAGGAGTGAATCAGGTTTGCCTGAGGGCTTTTAGTTTTATAAATAGTAATAACACCGATTACACTTGATCCCTAAAGCTGCATCTGTCAGTGAGAGAGAGAGGCTGCCTCACACGCTTGTGGTCATAATATTCCCTCTTTTTCTCTGTGTTATCACAAACCTCTCTGACGCCTCTTTCATAAAGCTCATCAAACAATGGCTTTTTTCTGGTAATCTGAGGCAGAAACAAAGAAATGGAAAATAATCATCCATCATCTTTGACACACCTCCATAATTCAATCATCCCACCAGCCAGGGCCCATATTCCATGATGAGTCTGGAAAGACTTGTTTTCTTATTGACTTTACCCTTGGTGGAATGTTCATGTTCGAGCAAAGCTTAATTGTTTCTTCAGGTTAAGCATTGTTTAACCTTTTTTCATGTTCACCTTAAGCCTGCAATACTCGTTGGTTTATTTACGCCAGGAGCAAACACAATGCAACTTCAGCTTCAATGAGTCATGCTTCTGCCCACATGGGAATTGTAGGTCCAATACTCTATATCTATTTTGGGCCAATGGTTTCAAATTGTCTGGCTTTTTAAGTGGCAAATGCTCCACAATATTGACAGAAGAGTTATTGTCAGG